GTAGATTGTGTTGGAGACACTGGAAGATGCACCCACATTTTTTTTAATTCTTCTTTGTTCCTCTCCCCAAATCACTGGATCACTATACTCTTTTCTGTAAGATATACTGATATAATTGAATTTGTGTTCTGAGCCAACATCTTACTTGTCTGCTCTTGTTCTTCACATATATATACAATGAATCAAACCCAATGAAGATATTTTCAATTAAACTGCATGAAATATAGTTGTGATCCTGGGTTGGCTGTAGCCATAATGCACATTTTGAGAGCTGCTTCCAACTGAACCTTGCTCAGCAACTAGGAGAGGAATACCATGGAAGAGAGGTAGCAAGAGGAAGGAAGGGCTGAAGGGTTTCTGACTCCCATAGTCCCTGTAAATCATACCAATCATCTTGTATCTTGGAACCTTGTTTTCCATTGGTGATTTGATACCAGAATTAAATCTGAGTGTGTGAACTGGATTTTCCCACCATACAAGTGCTTATCTGGTTTTCAGACATTGCTAATAGCTCCTTAAAATGTACTACAAGCTTATGAAATTTTGAAAGAAATACATGAAACTTAGCTAGCTAGCAATTGTTACGATAGCAGAATGGTTTTATCATAAATCTGTGTAAGTATATTGCAAACATCAGTTAATATATTACTGTGATTCCCATATAGAGAGATAACATTTGCAGTTTAGAATCTGTGCATGTCCATACATAAAATTCAAAGATTAAATTAATAGCTAGACTATGTAAAAGTGCTGGAAATACTGGGTTCCAGTGCAATTAAGGCCTATGTAATAAAAATTGTGAGAATAGCTTTACATGCTCATTTGATAGTGGCACACAAAGATTCAATTAGAATGAAGTGTTAATTGGGTGCAACACTTTAAAAATATGATTAAGCTCCTAGATGATACTTTTTATCAAAACTTTATTTGAAATATCCTTATACATTCTATATTTAGAAATAGTGAAAAATGAGCAGGGATGATAGAATCTTTAGCATCATTTTGGGAATGTGACCCATGAGAAACTACTTTTTGCTATGGAGGAAAAAGAAAAGGCACCTCCTGCAGCATATGATTGAGGGCATGGATTGTGTCCTGTGGAAATCACTCATTTGTGACAGGTTTTATAATCTCAAAAATAATAATGGCTCTCTTTGGTATTCCAGAACATGGAAAATCGCTTATTCTTTTATTCTAGCCCTTAGGTGAATCCCAGAGAGAATAGTTTGCATAGCTTTCTTCTAATATAACCTTATACTGTTAAAAACTAAAGGTCAAACCAAAATGGAAAACTGCCCACAAATCCCTAGTCTTTCACTGTGTTTAACTCAGGATGATTGTGAGATAATGACAGGTGTCTTTAAAGTACCTTTTGTCCCTTCCTAATCCTGGTTTATGGGAATTTAAACATCACAGGCATCGTAAGTAGTCCATGAAATGTTCTATCTATCATAGTTCATATGGTTTTTCTTATACTGGTGTGTTAGTTCAAATCAGCAGTTTCATAGTTGTGAATCAGACCTTGTATCTCCTACTACAGCTTGATCAATATGTCAGTTCACATAAAAAGCAATTGTTTTGCTGTAAGAAGGAGTAGTAAGGACTTCAGCAGGTATTGATTATATTGGTTTTGCTTGCATTCCTCTTTGCTGTCTCTTGTAACTTAATCTTTAAAGAAGCAGATTAATACCTGCAATAAAATATTAGGAAGGCCAAAATATACTGAGAATGAAGGAAAAGGAAAGAGCAATGTAGAGGAATATGTGATTAATACTGGAATAAGTGCAAGTATAGCAATAAAAATAAAGGGAAGACTGTGATGTTCATTAAGAGAACAGTAAATGGTTCTTGGTGCTGTAGCTCTGAGAGCAAGATTTGGCTTTAATATTCTCTTTTATTAAAAAGACTTTGGTGCAGAAATGGAAGAGTCCTGACACTAACAATATATATTGTTTGAATCTGCTGATTGTAGTGAGTGCTTCAGTATTTGAAGCAGTTGTAGTCTGATGACATGGAGAAGTTGAATGACAATGAAACATGAGAAGAGTTTCACGTATTCTGAATGCGTTCTGTAAATTTCATTGAAGCTCGCTTATCCCAGTTGATTTAAAATTTGAAAAAGCTCATCTAAAGATCATATATTGCCACAGTTATGAGACTTGTCAAAGCCTAAGCAAGATAGAATCCATGGTGACTGTTGGCAACAAGGTGCTTAAAGGAACAGATATGACTAAATCATACAGCAAGGATGGTGTGGGATGCCTGTGTTGATTACAGAGGGCATAAATCTTTGTCTTGAATTTTCACTGTTTTTTTGATTGCTGGGTATAAACAGAGAGATCTTCTGCTGGAAAAGGTAAAGATAGATCAGCAGACTTTCTATTCACTAGTCTTTATTTCAGTATTTCTTAATATCACTATCAGCCTGTTGTATGATAACAGATTTTTAACAACTTTTTTTTTTTTAAACTTCACCATTCATATGTATGTACCTTTGCACTTCAGGCTGAATCATTTCATTACATCCAAAAGGTATCAAATTTTGAACACCACTCAAACAACAGCTAATAAAAATTCAGGGGACTAATTTTTTTAAAGATTGACTGGAAGAACTGGTTGTTGACTACCATGAGTTCCTGCTTATATCTAGGAAAACTAGAAACCTAATTTCTAAAGTCAGGTGTAGGTTTGTGTCATCTTTTGTTTAAAAATGCTCTCTTTTGTTCCTGTTGTAGGTCCAGGCATCTTGTGTTTCATTTGAATAATGGCTATGGGTAGCTGTTTCACTGACTGCTGCTGAACCTTAGGTGAAACTACTGAACTTTGAACTTTTCCCTCCAAAGTCTAATGGAGGACATTTTAACCTAATGTCTATTTTTTTTTTCTTTAATTTAGAAGGAAAGTTTTAAACTGTGACCTGTGGAAATAATTGGAATGTTTGTGGAATTGAAGACATACTTACTGATATGTATTTGATTACCCATCAGTTTTTCACAGGAAGATGGCAATAGTAATATATCAGGTCTTCTAGCTCCCTACTCCCCTTTTTTCATCATGCAATAATTAACCAGGTATCCAGCTTTGTAAATCAAAGGTCTAAGTTTTGGGGCTAGTCCTTTTAATTATTTCTGGAGTTTTGACTACAGCACTACAATATGAATAAAACATTACTTTCAGGTCAATATGAGGGCTCAAGCTAATGGCCTTCAAATTAATGAAACAACTTCTTCTACTGTGCCTAATCAGCAACAGAGGATTATGGGGACTGAGGGAATTTTCATTAGTATCTCTTAAAGTGTCTGACACAAAGTGACATAGCTTCAGTTTTTTAGAAGGCTAAGTATTAAAGTTGCTCTTAGGGAGCAAAGAAGTTTTAATACTAGGGGATGTGGTATGTAACTTCCTATTTCCTTATAACAGCTTTTGGCTCTGGCTTACAATGACACTTTAGCACAGTTTAAAAGAAAAAAAAATAAACAACCCTTCCAAAGCATTTTAAGACATCGGTAATTACAATGGGTATATTGCTTAGCTGTTTCCATACATATTTTTAGAACTCACAAACCACTCCGGTTTCAGTGAGAATTTAGGCAAAAGGAGTCAAAAATGTGTTTCAGTTTCTTGAATATGCTCTTCAGCTTATGCTACTGTGCAGCTGCACTAGAAACTCAAGTGTTGCATATTTGAAATTTCTTAAAGTTCCTTTTCTTACTAGAAAAGTAACTTCCATGTAGCTTTTGAGGTCCTATCCTTCATAATGCTGATCACCATGTAGTCAAAACAGTAAAGCAACAGGAAGTAGCCTTTACCATGCACAGGTTTTTAGATGTATCCTAATTACGAATAATAAATTTTGAAACAGGATTATACAATAATAACTTCTGAATGCAAAAATTATGCTGAAAGGAAGGAGGAATTCAAGTAGCTATCTTGCAGAGTACAAATCACACTGTCTAGCTATTTTTGATGGCAAACTTCTACCTCACAACTTTGTATTCTGTGAAGTGACTATAAAAGTAACTTAAATACTCTTTCTGTGGTAGCTTCTCCAGGCATGCTGTCCTGCTCCTCCTGGTTAATAAGGTACAACCCGCAGGGACGCTGCATGAGCAGTACAGTTGGTTTGAGGGTGTTGTGTCCCCACTGCCGTTTGCTGCTCTGTGGTGCATTTGTGGGGCTGTGCTGTGAGGTGGGCACAGCCGCCAGTGCTCCCCTAAGGGTCTGCTGGCTGAGGGGATGAGAGGGACTGGAAATGGCTGTGCTGCAGCTCTGAGGGAAAGTGGATAAAGGGGGAAGGGTGGACTAGTCCAGCCAGTCACCCTGCTTACCAAGGTTTGTGCTCACTGAACTGTCCTATATCTCATTCCTGTGAACAAGTCCCCCAAGGAGGAGAGAGGTTGGGTTTTTTTAATTATTGTAATCCTTTTGACCTCATGCATTCATGAGTTTGGTCTCTTCTTGTCAAAGCAGTTTTGCAGGTTGACTGAATCAGGTGCTACTTTCAAACCAAATATTTTGGGTATTGTTCCTTAGCAATCAGTTAAGAATTACTGCAGTGTGGCTTATCTTAACCTATAATTTTCTTTGTGTTTTTCCATTTAATTTAATATTAAAAATATATTTATACTACAAATATCTCTGTGTACAAATCAGTGGTTGTCATTCGCAGGGTGTTGCAAGGTAGCTATACTTTCACCATACACTCAGTAACTTTGTTCTTATATGGTGTTTAATAGGCTTATTGATGTCCAGTTCTCTTTTTCAATAATCTTGGAGACTTACTCAGAAAATTCAGAGTTAGGCCATATTTTCAGCTTTTTTTATTAAATGAGCAGTGGTGAACATTGTTGTTCTGTAATACACATCAAAACTGTGAGAATCTGTCAATTGCAACCCCTATACTGTTAAAACATGTTCTCATTTGTTTATTGTTATTACCCTGGATTTGGCCTGGAATTCTAATTAATACTACTGAAGTCTTATTATTTATCTTTTCTCAGGTCTTTTGACTGATTGCATTTGTGATCTCTCAAGCATTTCATCCTAGCTGTTGGAGGAATGAGACCTAGCCATTTTTAGTATGAGTCCCACTTGAAAAGGTATCTGTCCTGAACAGACCCCATATGTTATTAATAGGAAAGGAAACCAATCAAAAGAGTAAAGAAGATTCAGAGTTATTCCAGGCTATTCTATTTTCCTTGTTAATACCCAAAACGTTTTTAGATCATAAATAATTTGCGACTGCTTCTTTACCTCCCATTCTCTTTCAAGTACAAATCCCATTTATTGCTTCCTTGCAGGGCAGAATGGCCCTGAAGGGCCAGGGAATTGGAACAAAAATGAGGACCTATGCTCCTTAGAGACAGAGAAAGTGCCAAAGAAATCTCTTTGCAGTAAGGCAAGTACCAAGATCTTTGGTAGAGATGCAGCTGAGGCAGAGCATACTTTCCCTTACTTTGTGACTGTGTCTCCAGGATGGGGAACAGGGACTTCCAGGGTGGACCAGACAGTGCTGACCACAGGACAACTGGAGAGGACAGCTGCAATCTGTTTAATCTTTCTCCATTTTCTTCTGCCTTCCAGGTAAATAAAAAAACCTCTCTCCTCTCTGAATGGTTACTATTAAACTCCACCACAGGCCCATTTCTGCAGATGAAATATACCCAGGGTGTTTTGGAAGCTGCTTTACTGACTCTCTACTAGTCTCACTTGTTCAGTGTCAGTTACCAAAAAAGCACGTGGTTCCCATGTTCCTGCTTCTTGTTCCAGGATGCAGTAATATAATTCCAGGTTGAAAGAGAGAAGCTGTAATATGTCACTAACCAGAAGACCTTGAGGAAACTTTTGGCCACAGTACCAGCTGCATTGTGCAATTCTGACTCTGTGATTTCTGTTCTGGACCAATTCACATCTCCTCAGCTTAATGTTTCTCACATTCATGTGGTCTGGAGACCCACCTTTGATCCACTCTTCTGGAAATCTGTGCTTTAGTTACGAATATGCATTAGATGTTTGGGAATTATATCAACTAAGGCTCTCTTTTTCTTAGTTTGAGATTAGGTGGGTTTATTTTTTTCTTTTTAATTTTTTTTTCTTGAAATCCTTGGAAGAAAAAACTTCCCTGGCAAATAATTTCCATTGTTTTAGACACTGTGAAATGTGGTGTGGCTTATATGAGAAACTTGGTGACCTTGGGCTATTGTCTCTTTGGTTTTTTTCATGTGTTGTAGAGTTGAAATTAATACTGCTTCTTTATACAAGATGCATGTTCCCTAGAACATGACATTTTAAGGAAACTTCTGCTCACAATGCATGTATTTGGGGAAAAAAAAGTGGTGACATCCAAATACACATTACTGCTCTGGGTCCCCATGAAAACAGCTGAATCTGCTCTTCCCGAAGTCTGATGGCTTTGATGCAAACTGAACTGGGCCTTAGGTGAAGGAAATATTTCAAAAATAGTATCTCTAAAGAGAGTGTCTCCTGCCATTAATAGCCTGTTAAGAAAGGAAGCCTCTAACACATGTGCGCGCACACACACACACATGCACGCACACACATACACACACACACATACACATTGTTGCTTGCTGTAAAACTAAGGTTCATTTAAGGAAATGGGATGCTTTAGATTGTAGAATAGCAAAGATGGATGAAATCTGAAGAGTTAATTACTGCTGTTGGGTACTTATATTATTAGCCATGCAGAGAGACAGTTTTTAGTTTAGATTTGTATGACTTGTCAATACCAGTGTTGTCCCCAAAAAATGAGCCCAGCTTTAGTATGTTTAAAATGTAGCCTTGCTTTAGTATGATTGCACAAAAATAACAAAAAAAGCTTGTCATGATAAAGGCATAGGATTTAATGATTAAACTTTAAATGTGAAATTGGAAACACAGCTTGTAACTTAAAATGTTTTCTATGTGGAAGCACCTGGGTTTATCCAAGGACAGATTGACCACAAGATTACTGAATGCCAATGGCAATTACAGCTTTATTGGATAATGCACTGGGCAGATCCTTAGCCTCTGTAAACTGTCCTAGCTTCAAGAAGTTCAGGAGAGACAAATTTACAGATCTGACCCACATTTTCCTATAGTGAATGTATGTACAACTTTTTATTTTCCTTAACCATTGGCTTTCTATCTTTATCTAGTCATACATCAACCCTGATGTTTCTATCTGTCTGTGAAGAAGCGCATGAGTTCAGATACTAATTTAGACTGAACCTTGGTCAAAAATAAAGCCTTTTAATTTTTAACTTCCTTGCTTAGCAGGTTATCTTTAATAAGTAAGCAGCATAGTTGTTCTAAATTACACCTTTAACTGCTTTTCTGAGTGCTTGCTTACACTAAAAACTAGGCAAGCTAAGACATCCCAAACTCTATTTTGAATCAAAAATAGTTCAATGAACAACAGCATTGTCTATGTTTTCTCCCTCTAACCTTCTAATGGATGTAGTCTGCATCTTCTTAAACATGCATAATCAACTAAAAAATCCCTAGGTCTAGTTCAGTCAGAAATAATGAGCTGCCAATAGGAACAGTCAACAGAAAGATGAGAGAAAGAGTTGAGTTGAACCCACATGGGCAATTTTGGGTGTAGTTATGGGAAAGCCTTGAGGAGTTTTCATTCTGATTTTGAAGTCTCTAGTCTTGCAGAAGACTCATTTAATGGTGTCCAGCAGGACAGGGTCCCATTAGTTGCATGATAAGATGCCATGGTAAAGTGAGAGGAGAAAATTTTAGATGAAGTAAACAGAGGATAGCATTGTCCTGTGCTGGCCTCTTTTGTTACTATTATTCAGCAGTAACATATCTGGGCTTATCAGTTTATATGTCTCTAAATGTAAATTTTGTCTTGTGAGTGCAAGGAATAATGGGTGGGAGGGACATTACCCACCATCTCAGCTCATTGTCAACAGCATCTCCACCATTCCTGTGGGAGAATCCTTCTAGCCTCTCACCAATAGAAAATACAGATGTGTAGAAATGGGGATGGTGAATGGGGCAGGAGCACCCTTCTGGCTGCCAGCTGTGAGGGAGTGAAACAGGTAGGTGCCTCCCAAAGCTTGCATCCAGGTAATTTTAAACATACAGAAAACTACACATGGCTCCCATCCTGGGGCTCCAGTTTGCAAGCACCTTTTGCCCTCTCTGCGTTTTTCTGGGGTGTGAACTGCTTTAAACAATTCCTCTTCTAATTAAGTATGGTCGGTCTGTGTGTTGGCTGCACCCATCTGTAGAGAGCAATCTGCTTGCTCCCTTCTGAGGATCCCTTCTTTCCCTCCCCATCGGCCTTGTTGGGAGATTAAAGCAGCAGCGGCCCCATACACAAACGCAGCTGGTTCCGTTTGGTCAGCCTGAGCCTTGCTGTGAAACCACGACAAGAATTCCAGTAAGTTGGCAACACTGAAACACAAAGAAAACAACAATAGGAAAAGACCTTCCGTGCAGAAAGGAATGTTTCAGGCACTATTCCCCTACAGTGAAAGGAGAGAGGGTGGGAGGGAGGAGGGAGATTTGAAGAGGGCATGTCTCCCCCTCCCCCGGCAGCTCTGGATCTTGTGATGGAGAGATCTTATCCTCTCTTTGTGATTCAGAGGTGCCAGGAAGCTAATTGAATATTCTGATCTGCCCCCAGTGTTTCTTGTGGCTTGACCCCGGTGCTGTGTCGTACCACTACACCAAACAGCCCTGAACCTGCATAAATCACAACCTTGCAAAAGCCTATGCTCCACATCTTCTCTCCCCACCCCCCCTCTTTACTATCTTGATAGATAGAAAGCCTTTACGGAAAGGTTTAGAGGGATTAGCGTCCTACAGGACCTGGAGAGAAATCACAGTCTGCTAATAAGCAGCAACATGTTCCTGTGCAACTTCTGCAGGAACAGTGCACACACGTCCTACCCCTTTATTGAAATTGAAGTCCATGCCTAAAAGAAGAAGAGTTAAGGTTTGAAATATTGCTTAAGTTCTTTAGCAGAATCAGCTAACAGCCATTGCAGTATAATGAGCAAGGCATGATGCTAATGCAAAAGATATATGGTATTTATAAATGTGGTGTCATTAAAATTAGTCTGATAGAGCCTCTTGGAAGACAAATAGACCTATCCATCTTCTCCCACGGTATGTATGTACAGTAGTCACTGTTGACATGCTTGTGTATGTGTGTATACATATGAAGAAAGGACATCTTGGCATAACTAAATTTTCTACATGAAACACTATTTTTGACTAATATTTAAAAAAAAAAATATCTAACTTCACACATTTTATATATGGTATTTCTGATCCTGCAAGCAAAACCTCCAAAATTTTTGTCCTTTTGACCAAAGCTGCATTCCAGCCCAAAGTATTAGGGTATCTTTCTCTTTTCCCTGTGATCCTACATACTGCTCTTCCCTTGTTAGTGGGTATATGGTACCTGAAATGACAGCAGTAAAACACAAGGAGGTATTTCTTTGTCTGTTGCACACACTGTTGGAGAGTTAGAACTAAAGGAGCGTGTCTCCAGCTGGTATCTTGAGAATTCACAGCCAAAGCACTTTACCAAAATGATTTTATCTGCTAAGAAAGTGCAAAAATAAGTTTCATCCTACAGTTTTCCTTTCATAGTATTTATGTGAGGAGTACTAAGTTCTAAACTTTACCTCTGCATTGGTGAGTAGATGTTGGATTTTTTTCAGAGTTATCAAAAATACTTTTTCTTATTTGGAATGTGCCTTTAGGACACTAAAACCTGTGACATATTTCACTTTCCACCTGCAATTCCCAGAACTACTCAAAATAGACAAGCACATTAAATACAGCATCAATGGACTCTGATACAAAGTCAGCAAAGTGGAGGGTCTTGGAAGCGTCTTGGCTATCCTGCAAAGCTTGGAAGGAGGGGCAGAGGCAGCCTGTGGCTGCAGGGCCTGGAGCAGTGCCTGATTCCCTCATGCTGGTTCCGGGGCCGCCGGGTATAAAGAGCTTTATGCAATGTCTGGAGGGTGGGAGTTTATAGAAAACGCGATGTCTCAACAGGCGAACACGCCTTTCTTCTGCAACTAGCAGGATAAGAAAAAGACACCAGGCTCCTTGTGCTGCTGCTGTGCAGATCAGCACCCCGGAGTCCAGGAGCCAGCTTCTGAGGAAGCTGGAGCATCCCAGCCCAGATGGGACCTCATCATCGGATGGATGGAAGAGCAGCAACTGCTTGCAAACTGCTCATATTATTCACTGCATGCATAATGCAGGGCAGTTGCCAAGGTAAGAGCTATGCTTCAGCCTCTTCGGCATGGGAATTGCACCGCAAGGAGCACATCCCTACTCCGGGGATTTTTATAAGAAAAAAACCAAAGTGCCTGAAAGTAGAGGGTTAACGGGCACTGATTCAAGGAGTACTTTCTAATAGCTAGGGGAGACAGTTGCCTCTTTCCAGGAGTTGATGGAGTCGGTTTCTGTTGTGGAAAAGTAAGTAGTGCCTTAAAAGCACTGCAAACACCACCGACTCTTTAGCTTCACTTCATCTTGATTTTAAATTATCCTAGTATGCTTCCTTTGATTGTTTTTCTGATTTGTACAAACTTTTTTCTTTTTTTTTTTTTTTTTTCCCTAATTGTATAAGACAGCAACACACAAATGTGGCTAAATTTTGAGGGACATCTCAGACTTTGTAACTCCACGGTCTAAACTCATGGCTTTACAGAAATGCAGGCAGGCAGGTTTTTCTGAGTCCTGATTACTGGCTGTGGATAAGGCCAAAAAAAAACCCCCAAAATCACCCCAGACTTTTTGCATTTTTTCCTTGTGATCCTTGTGCCTTTCTTGCTACTGAAATACGGGTGGTTTTACAGAGCAGAGTTCACCTGCATTGCAAGAGCTGGTTTGGTGACCACTAAAATTGTACCCAGAGTTGTTTTTGGTGAGGAGTGCACAGGCTGCAGCACTTGCACGTAGACAGGTTGGGCCGGGGGGTAGGGGTTATGCGTGGACATGCTTGCATACGTGTGGTATATGCAGTCATTTGCAGAAGGCTATAAGAAAGAAACAGATGCTTAGTCTGGAGCACAATAAGCTCCCCTCAGTCAGTCTCAGACGCAGATTTGAAGTTGAGAGAGGGAGAACTTTTTCTCTGAGCTTTACTGTTGCTAGGCGACATCGAGGAGCATGTGACTGGCAGAGCAGGCTGAGTGCCGCTCCTCCGGTACTAATCTGGCTGTTTGGGATGGAGCTGCCGTGTGCCCAAGTGCTCCCTCCGGCCTGTGACTGCAGCCGATCTTCCTGCCTTCTTCTTCACTGTTTAATTGCCTTCCATTGAAAATCAAGCCTGTCTTGTTGGAGCAAGAGTGGCTGAAATGCCTTTCCTCTGCCCCGCATATTGCCCTGCAGTCCTGCTGATTCTGTGTGTGTCTGTGTATTACGTGTGTTCAAGTTGCTAATCTGCTTTCTTTGCTCAACTCTTAGTTTAAGCTCCTTAGACAGAATCAACTAAGTAATTATACAGCAACTGCTGCTAGCAGCTCCCACTTATGAACAGGGAAATAAGAGATAGCTAATGTGCTGGGGACCTGCAAAAACTCCAGCTAAGGAGGTCACACTGGGCAGAATTAATCCTATGCACTATTATTTTACATTGGATAGAATGGAACCTACACTGCAGATAAAAAAAAAATAAAATTATTTTGATCTACAGCTGCTTGTGATTGTCCAGAATGTACCTGATAAATGACATGACAGAATAAGCAGAGAGAAGCTTTGAACTAGTATCCATAGGTAGTAGAAGTACAGAAATTTTTTACGTTTATGCTATTCCTCCTGCTCTTGCTCCCATTCTCCCCTCCCTCCTGCCTTCACAGTAGAATAACTGTGGAAATCAAGCAATATAATTTTAGTAATGGGTGACTGATACTAGCAAAATACCTGTATAGCAATTTTGCCTGCACTGTGATTATGATAGTGAAATATTTGGTAATTTTAAGTTACAGTTCCTTGAATGCTGAGATCATGTCAGACACTTATTTTAAAAAGAAAATTTGGAGGACCATGAAAGCAATCTCAAGCCTTAGACGGAAAATGATGAAAATATAATATCTTGCCTAATCCTCAGTATTCCCAAAGGTGCTTCACTGATGTTTTTTGAGATTTTTGTTGGAAATATCTGAGTGTTCCCAGTATAAGATGGATGTTTCTAGAAGAATTTCACCTAAGCACTTGCTCAAATGATAACATTCTTCCGTGATTTATCTAATTCTAGTTTTACTGAGTTAACATAGTGCTCATAAACAGAATAAAAATGCTGTTTTGTAATTGCCAGCAGTATAGGGCCTGTTTCTCTAAGCTTTACTCTATAGGTCTTGCTGCCTGTCGGGTAATTGTCAGAAAAAAGTGTAACTGGAATCTAAAAAGTAGTTAAGTGAAGGTAGTGTCAAACAGGAGCATCACAAGACTATAGCTCGTGTTCGTTTTGAGGAATAGCAAAGTGCTTCACACTCAGTCATAAACTAGAGACAATGGATGGATGTTAGTGCACCTAATTTTATTTGTATCCTGAATCTCTGCAATAATAATCATCAGCTTGATACATCCCAGGCAAATATGACTAAAGTTTGTTACCATTATGAGATCTCTATTAGTCTGAGAATGAAGGCCATTCTAAGAATGAGCATATATGGTGTAATGAGCATATATGGTGTGATAAGATATATCAGAAATCACAATGAACATTTGCGTGAAGTGTGGCAGGCCATTAAGAAATAGGTATGGTAAAACCAAGTAGAGAAGTACAGCAGTTCTTTCTGGAAGTCATGGAGAAACATAGTTTTCCATAAGGTATTGTAATAGTTCAAACTCCAGATTAATAATTCAGTGTTTTTTAGACATTTTCTTCACCCAAAACTATTTAATTTGTCTGTAGGATGATGTGATATTGCTACAGGCGACATGTCAGCATCACTATTCATACTTCCTTGTGCAGTACACTTTCAAATGACAGAGAAGCCTGTCTGTAAGATTCCACCCCTGACAAGACCTAGAGTTTGAAGACCTGAGTGACTGGGGACTGAGGATTTGGAAGTAATGAGAAGGGAAAAAGGATGGCAAGAAATATGAATATACCAATGCAATCCTGGCATACAATTTACTGGGTTTTGTGCATTTCAATGTTCATAATCCTGCACTAGTACAATTCTCTTGGTTTCTCTTGGAAATGTACTCACACAAAATCAAGAGCAAAAATTGCATTGAATGTCCATCTATCTGTCTTCTAAAGTGATTTACTCCCTGAGGCCTGACAATTTAGAAGTATCTGTCAGCGAAACATGTCATAGTCTTCTCACATTTTAATGAGTATTTCTGTGCATTAACGGGTTTTGGACTTTTTTAAGTTGTTCTTTTTAATGAATAGCCCACTTCTAGTACATCTCTTGAATTTTCTTAATAATTTACTCTTTTTCTATATTCTGTTCAGTAAAGCATATCAGGTATTTGCAAAGTAATCAGCTAAAGCAAAGAATAGGTCAACCCCCAGAATTTTAGTTAAATATTGAAAACAGTAATTGGATGACACCTGGTTAGATTTAGGTTCTGTGCCAAATGCTAGAATTACAGTAAATAATTAAGCTACAGGAGTGAAGACAAACTGAGACAGACCATCCAAGGAGATTTCAACTATGATAAATGTGTGATGTGTGAGATGCTTCTATTTCCCTGTAAGACAAACCAAAACCTTCTTTCATAAATTGAGCTGATTGGAAATTTGAGTAATGAAATCCTACTTTAATCCAGATTTACTTGCCATGTGTTTTGCAGGAAATAGCAAAGATCCATTTGGGGGAAAGGTAGACTGAAATTTCATTACAGCCGTTTAATTATTTTTCTTTTGGGCTCCCTGGGTTGACATGAAATCACGTTTACTGTTTGGAGCCTTTCTCCTCCATGTGCCTTCTCTCACTCTTCTCATTCTTTAACACTGAACCTGGAGGTTCTTCTAAATCTGAATACTCTTCTTTTTAATTGAGTAATAAGCCTGCACATTGTAGACATAGTTTATTTTATTTATGTTATTTGATCCATTCAGTCTTCTACAATACTTATTTTTATATCTGAGTGGTCATGATAACATGTTGGATAGACAGATATGTAACTTGAATCACACTGTACTATCACTTTTTTGAGCAGGAGTTGTATCTCCTCTTTCAGAGCTCTACTTAAAACATACTGGAACCATATAGTTTTTTGGATGTTTCAAAGGAAGTTACACCTTCTAGAGGTTGTCATTGTTGAAAAACATTAAAAGGTCCCTTCTAGTTAAGGATCTACAGGTTGACATCTATTTAAAGAAAAGTGGATGTTTTTATTCCACTTTGACTAATCAGTGATGATAATCATAATTTGTCAATTTCTTTTGATAGCTTACACTGAATTTGGCAGATAAGAGCTGTTTTTTAAATTATTTAAAACTAAAATGCTTCTTTATATAATTTGATAATAATACATATATAATATGTTCTTAAAAATACCTTGAGTTGATTCTAGATGAAAGAATAATAAGGTTTCTTCTGAGTCAACCCAGTGCAATTCCTTCAATTTCAAAGAAATTACTCTGAGTTGTACTGATCTAAGACAGAAAATATGATTCAGTAAAGAGCAAACATCTCCTTAAATAGGTTTGTATTATTTGAGTTCCATTTTGATTTTTTGAAGTCCATTTTGTTATAATAATGTTTTTTAAACAACTTTTTTCTCCCTTGACTCAGTACACTTATAGAACAGCTGGAAAAAATAAAAGTTTAATGAGTGAGAATAGAACTGTTAAATGAAATGGATAGCCTCTAGTGTATTCCTTAAGCTTGTACTGTTGATTTCAGGGGTTTTAATGTTTTCTTTGTTTTGCAATGCTTAAAGTGGATTAGAGATCAAAGGATCACTGTTACAAGTTTTGTTTTGGATTAATGAAACAACATATAAAAGTTGACTGAAATGCTTCTATTTCTATGACCTGTTCTATTTTATAGTTTTAACATGAATAAGTTGCCTTTTTTATACAATCAAGAAGCCAGATCTTCAGCAAAAGGGCACTGTTTACAGCAGCAGTGTGTCTGCCCAATTATTTTCCTGCACAGCCAGGTCATGATACTATACCCTACTGAGTCAAATCAGAGAATGGGGAATGGGGACTCCCTTTGGGGGGACTGCAGGGTCATGCTTTTGTGGAACAAGAAGCCTGGGGCTTTAATTGTGTTCTGTGGCATCTAAAAAAAAAAATAAAA